TAACAGGTCTGGGTTTTAGTCCTGGTGGGTCTCCACACACCCTCCTCACCCAGGCTACTCCAGGTGGGGGGCACTGGTTTAGTAGCCAACAACCTGGCCACGGAGCAGGCTGTACTGATTAACGTCGTATCAGATAGCAGACCGAGAGAGGCCTGGCCTAATGGGCTGCCTAAGTAGCCATTTGGAAATGCTGAAAAGTGGAGGATTGGAAATCCTAATCTGTCCAGGGTCCAGGCATTCATTAGGGGCAGATGGGGGATGCCTCTTCACCACTGTCATCCTCTAAACTTCAACTACATTTCAGATCTTCCCAACTGCTGCAAGGACCAGTAGAGAAACATCTCTGACATACTAGATATAATTACAGCAAGGTTGTTCTGCCTTCTTTCTAATGGACAGACTGCAAGGAATTCAATTGGGAAAGATTAGATTATAAGAGTTTATATCTAGCTTGTGGCTACACAACCCTCCTTCAGCATCTTCAGATTGCTCATTTTATGGATCAGAGGCTGTTTGTGTGCATCAATAACACAAAAAAAAAAAAGAACAAAGAGAACTTTTTTCCCTTGTAAAGATAAAGTATCAGAGCTTTTCTTATTGGTTCTGGCACATCTATTTTCCCCTGGAGCATAATCCATTTGTCTGGTGGAATAAAACTAACGAAATCGCTTATTTTGCATACTAAATTGCCAGAGTTATATGCGAGGCGAGGAGAAGCAACAACAAAACAACTTCCAGGGTCAGTAAATAAAACCGAATCTGTCTCGCGGTGTTACTTTAATATGGTAAACAGTTCCGTCCGCCACTGGCAAGGTGAAGGGTTTATCGCCTGCAACAGGTAGTTAATATTGCTTTAAAATGGCAGCTTTTGAGAATATCCTCATTACCATGCTGATTTGGGAGAGGAGCCATCAGTAACCATCAAATTATTGATTCAATTAGTGATTTCCTAATTTATCACTTCTAAGTGAGTTGTGTTGGATGCTCCCTTTTCCTTGTTGAAAAACAGGATGCATAAGAGATCCCAGGAGCATTCAGTGTACCGCACCCGTCACCACTTCCGTCACTAAGAGTGCAAAGATTTACTAGCACGTTAAACTTCTTTTGACTAGTGCTGCTGTATTTCTTTATTATTATTATTATTATTATTATTATTATTATTATTGTAGCTGTATGAAGGGTTTTTCCCCCCCATTGGTGAGTGGTTGTTTCATTCCCTTATTTTTCTGTGGGAGTTTATTTTTGAGTGCATCTTCATAGACATTAGGGCTGGAAGAGACCTTGTGAGATCATTGGGTTCAGCCCTCTGCCCAAGGGGCAGGAAGTCAGCTGGGGGTCAGCTCACCCCAGCAAAATAAGCATCCAAGCGTTCGTCAAGGTGTCCAGAGTAGGTGCTCGCACCACCGCTGGGGGGAGTTTGTTCCAGACTCTGGAGACTTGTGTGGTAAAGAAGTTTTTTCTTATGTCCAGTCTAAAATGGTCTTCCAGCAGAAGTCTGCCGTTTGCTTCTAGTCTATTGATTCTCACCCTGTGGGTCGCAACCCAAAAGTGGGTCACAGCAAGATATTAAAAGGTGGCAAACAAACTTTAAAAATGGATTCTGATTTAAAACGGAGAAAAACGTGGGAAACGGTGGCTTTTCCCTGGCAGGTTATCAGAGTTCCTGCAGGCAAGGGGCTGCTTGGGCCCCCCCCCCACACACACACACCGGGTGCCTGGGGGTGGGGGGCAGTGGGTCAGGAGTGAAGGGCACTGGGTTGGAACTGGCCATCGTGGTGGGGTAGTTTAACCAATATAATTCCTGTGAGGGCATTTGGTGGGTTGGGTGAGGTATATCGGGTACTGTGACGGATGTGAGTAGGATCCGAGTGGTTGTGGGGTGTATTGACTGTGATGCTGGCCTAAATTTTGTAGTAGTACAAAATATGAAGTGCCATACCCAGTGTGGTTCAGTAGACTGGAGCATGTGTGATAGTAGAGTTCAAGTACTCAAAGGACAAAGCTGTTAGAAATTCAGGAGCTCCGATTCTGGTTGGTTTTAGTTTTTCTCCCTTTATCCCGTTTCATTTGGGACAAGATGTACTTTAGAAATTAACAGTCGACCTTTGCAAGACATGAGAGCTGGTTCCTCCAGTGCATGCCCACTGGAAGCCACCTGATTTTCTGGTTGATACTGCCCGAGTCTGAATAACACAGGTCTCTTACACTTACACTCTTCATTTTGTTAGAAATATAGTGCATTGGATTTTTGGGCTGTTCTTATGGGCTTTGTACTAGAGCTTGGTTTAAAGTTGAAATGTAAAGCTTTCCAAGAGAGATTTCTTTTAGTGAAGTGCTCTCTTAATCATGCAATCTCCAGCTCTGTTAAAAAAAGTTTGGAGAGTTAACTCCTATTTCTCAACCCACACACTCAGTGCTGTGCACCTAGATGATCATCAGTCTCTTTCCAATTAAAATACCAACTCTCTGGAGCCGGGGTGCTGTTTGCAAGATAGACACAAATCAATTGAACATCCCAAAGATTGGCAACTTATGGTTTCTTTTGTTCCAAAACTTGTAGGCATCATTTCTGAAAAGCATATGAGAGAGGAAGGTTGGCAAGTAGTTTTGGGGGAGGGAGGTTGTTTTTTATGAAAACATAGCTCTTTGATCCTAAGTAAAAAGCTGGATATATAGAGGCTTCAATCCTTTTTATTCAGCTAAGAGCCTTTCTTCTCTCGCCAAGTTTGTGTCCTTTTTATAAAGGTAGCATTGCCATATTGGCTGAGCCCCAAACATCCGTTTAATCCATGCTCTTGTCTCTGAAAGCGTCTAACACCAGATGGTACCAGGGAAGGCATTATCATCAACAGATTGTAAAATGGGGAGCAGGGGGGAATCTTGTACACCATCCTCGGTGGGAAGTTTGGAAAAAGGAAACCTTTGCAAGGACTGGTGAATTGTCACAAAGGGACAAGACTCTTTCCTAGACGAACTTTAAGCAGTCCAGTTGTTTCTGTCCTAAGTCCAGTCCCAAAAATCCTGGATCAGATGCAACTGTTGGATGCCACATTAAAAGGAGCTTTGTTGCAAGGGGGTTTTTTTAAACTGGTTGTTTCACGTATGCTGAAGCTTTGAATTCACAGTCATGGGCTGCTCTAAGTATTTATACGTTTTTTAAAAAATACCCTGAAGAGGCAAGTAAAGGCATTTGTGGTGATGCTGATTTAGTAAAGCTGCAAGAAAAGCCCATTTGTGGTGATGGGGATTGATTTGGAGGACCTGTACCGAATGAAGAAGGCACCCACTTGGGATGTATTGTGTGCCTTCAGGTACTCTGCAGGGTGCCTGAGCTTTGAAGAAGGAGATTTATCCCCGTGTAGACTGCAACCCTTTGGAACCACTCAAGAAAAGGGGGGTTAATAGGACACAAGTGATGCAAAAAGGCCATGTGTTGGCTCCCTGTGAGGAAGTGAATGTTCCTTCTTTGTGCAAACAGTGCTGCAATATTGTGATTTTAATTTTCAACAAAATCATGTTCAGTGATATGGCTGAGAGACTTGGGTGACGTGGTCGCTCGTTTCTGTCCCTAGCCTTACACACAAACCAGTATAAGTTATTGGAAACAGGTTCATATCTGTACCACAACACAGGTTCAGTGCACACAAACCACTTTCAGGATGGCTGAAACCCATTTAAGATGAACCTGATGGATGTAGTATCAGACTGAACTGATTTAGGTTACATCGGTTTATTGAACTAATGCTTCGCATCCCCTCCAGATTCAAGTTAACTCAGTCCCCCAGCAGCCCAGGATGCTTTGCACCTCTCTTGCAGCGCCCCCTCCCCCGGGTGGGTGGGCGGGCTGGCCTTGGCCTAAGCTGTCTGCTCCAGCCAAGCATAGAGGCGTGCTCTAGCGCCCCCAGCTTCTGGCCTGGGCAACTGCAGGCATGTGGCTGCATTTCCAGAATCAAATGTCTGTTCACTTGCTCGTCAGTTCAGTATATGCATTTTAGATTAACGAAGATTGAATAGATTCAGCCTCAGGCTTTTTGACAGTCTGTAGAGGATTGGTAAGGGTAATGGAGTCAGTGGTTCATCTCTAGCCCAATTTAGTAAGACAGACGTTTGAAAAGTGCATGAACATGTTTGCATTTACCTTTGCTGTGGCTGCATCAGGGATTTTTGCCTACAGGGTTTCCACTATAGAAGTCGCTGTCATTAAAATTGCCGGGAAAAGGAAAAGACAGGATCTATACTGTAATTTAAGTGCTGTTACCTACTAGGGTTAACCTTGAAGTGCTTTAAGTAATATTCTCTTCCTAGATGATGACTCCTGGCCTGGGAGGTATGCGGGGCCTGTGATTCAGAAACTAGCAGCAGAATTTACTGCCCTTGTTGCCATATCCACGAAGGGATTGTGGAATGGGGAATTCATGATAAGGGAGATTTGAAATCCCTGCTCTGCTGCTTAGGACAGATTCGGAGAAGAAATCCCCAAACGGCACATAGCTAAAAATACAGTTGGGCTGCATCAATTGAATGCACTTTGAAAAACAGATAATATACCTGATAATAAATTACATTTGTTAATGTTTCAGCACTTAGAGCCAATTTATGCAGATTATGGGTGTCGTAGATTCATTTTAATATCATTTTCTTTTACTTGAACTCATTCAGTGCAAATCCTCTTATTCGGTTTTGTAAAGCAGCTTCTTCCTCTGGGGCCTTGCAGGGAGGGGTGTGGGGGCTGCCTCTCTCTACCCCTGGCATTTTATTCTGGGTGACACTTATGTTTCCCAGTCAACAGGAAAACAGCAGCAGCAAACCCTGCTCGTATACGGAGAAGAGCGTTTTAACTTCTTTCTGTAAAGATTATGTTGAGATTGAACACAGGCGCATATTAAAGCAAGATAAAAGGGTAACCAATCTTGGCTGCTGCCTTGGCCACAGTGTTCTGTCGCCCCTAATGATTCTGATAAAGTACAATGCTAGAAGAGACTGTTGCCTCTTAATTTCAGGATGGATGGCCACCTCAGGATATATGTGGTGCTACGTTGTGAATCTGAATGGAGAATTTATTACTTCAAGGACTGCATACTCAAATGAGCTACTAATGAAAGCGCATCAGACTCCTGAAAAAAAGCAGAGACTGGAACAGGTTTGACAGTCACCTTGAAGGTCACTTTAAAGTAAGAGCACACTGTTTTTTCCCCTCTTTCTTTCTTGCTTTTTTTTCTTGCTTTGGGGGATTTATAGCTTGTTCCTTATCAAAAGGCAGTGAGCTCATATAGGATGTTGCCAAGTTTAATCAACCAAACGAGTTAGAATTGCAGCTAAAACCTATCGGCACTAAATTGAGCTACCGCCATTTTTCAGTTTCTATGTAAGCTGCTTTCCGTTTAATTTCTTGGAGGATGTGCTGCTGAATCTAGTTCCACAGTAAAATAAAATGACCCGCATGCCATTATAATTAAGGCAAGAATACAATCTTTCTGGAATAAATTCTGATCTCTGCAGCGAGAGACATACATAAAATGGGGTGGGGAGATGGGAGGGGGGAGGTCGCTGCACCCAGAACGAATATTCCCCTCGCTGTGTTTTGTTTGCATTTTAATTTTCATTTTAAGGTCATATGACTCAATGCACAATAGTGCCCCTACTTTGTTTTGCCAGCAAGTAATTAGATTTGATATTCTGTGTCTCACAATTAATTCTCCGTGCTTACAGCTCCACTCAGTTTTACTTTGCAGTTTTCATTAAGTTATTAGCACATTTTATGATACAGAAAATTGCTAAAATCATACATTCCCTTCCACTGGGTGGACTTGGAGTAGTTTGCATCGGTCCAGTGGGCACAAGAGAAATATATTTAAAACAAATGTATTTTTCCTCCAGTTCTGTGCATCATTGTACTGTTAAGTTGACTTGGAGTAGTTGTTTAGCTGGTATTTATCCATTTATTTTTCCATTTATTAAATGTAGGCAATTAAAACATGAAGTCAACAGTTGGACATATTTCCAAGCCAATGGAAAGCTGTCATTGGATTGCAGGTGCCTCAGTATCATTTTTAGACAGTTTCATGTGGTTAAGAAAGCTCTTTTTTTTTTTTTTTTTCTCTCAAGTTGGTCAATTAGTAAATCTATGATTTCATACTTTTTTCTTTTACAAGAGAGCTGCTACTAAACTATATCTCAACACCATAGGCAGAGGAAGAGAAAAATAATTTGGGGGGGGCTAAGCAGGTAAGTGCGGGGGAAGGGCCGTGGGGGGTGCAGATCAAGGCCCCAGTGGTGAGAGAGGGAGCGGGGCACGGACGGGACCCACTCACCCCAGGCCCTGCACCTGCCTGTGCCCCACTCCGCCCCTCACCGCTGGGCCCTCGATCTGTGTCGTGTGTCGACACACGACACCATGACGACGGGACGCGTGTCATTTCCCCCCCCCCGGCAGTGAAGGAGGGAGTGGGTCTGAGCAGGTAAGTCTATGGGGGAAGGGCCGTGGGGGGTGGGGGTGCAGATCAAGGCTGGGCTGGAGTAGGGCTTTTCCCGGCGCAGGGGTTGGGCCGAACTGCGCTCGGGGTGGGGGGCTACGGTGAGCTTTGGGGTGGCTGTAAATTTCCCTTCAGTATTGCCACTGCCCGTCCCGAGCGCTGCTGGCCCAACCCTCCGCCACTGCCGCAAGAGCCCTCACCCCAAGTGCAGATCCTGAGCACATGACCCCCATGCCTCCCCAGGAGCCGTGCCCCCCGGGGCGAGCCACTCACAGCTCTGTCCCTATCCCTGCCCTGGCTGTGCAGCCCCTCCCCCAGCCCCACTCCCTCCCCACCCTGCTGCACCTGCTGGAAGCCCTCGGCCGGCCGGCCTTGCGCCCTACTACTACCCTGCGTTTGAGGGGGCTGTGCCCTGTTAGCCCCCCCCTTCCCTCCCCTACGCTCAACACTGAAACGCCAATAAAAAATGTTTGGGTTTTTGTGCGAGAGTTGCTTCACCGCTGAAATGCTCTAAAGAGTCTGACTCCAGAAGAGCCATAAACTTGAAGTGACATTTTACAAGTGATGCACCCGGGAAATGTGAATAGGATGCAAGTAGGATCCAGGGAGCATGAAGTATTTAAAGCCACAAAACATGAAGGATTTTAAGCTCTGTTCTTAGTTGACAAATGCTAGTGCAGAACAAGAGATCAAGCTGCCTTGGGTTTCTCTCCAGGAGCAAGTGCACATGGTGCCAGTCATAGTAGAGATTCTGGTCACCTGACGTTTCAGTGATCAGAGTTTTATAACCTTTCTCAGCCTAATATGCAGGGACCCTGATTTCTCTAATTTATAAAAGATCCCCACTTTTCGGGTTAAAAAATGTAACCCAAAATCCACATTTTTCTGTGATTTTTAAAATGAAACACCACCAGGTCTAGGGCAGGGGAGGGCAAAATGCAGCCCATGGGCCAGATGTGACCCACCAGGCCATTCTATCGGGCCTGTGAGGCCCCTGAAAAATTTAGAAAATTAATAGTTATCTGCCCCGGCTGCCTGTCACGCAGCCCTCGATGGCTTGCCAAAACTCAGTAAGCGGCCCTCCACCCAAAATAATTGCCCGCCCCTGGTCTAGAGTCTTTATAAAGTCCTTGTGCAATTTTAAACTTTTAATAACTTAGGTTGTGCACAAGGACTTTATGAAGACCCTGTATATAGAGAGCGAGCTAGCTAGATATAGATTGGCCTCTATCGATATATTAGTGGTGTTTCATTTTAATCGCAGAAAAATGTGGATTTTGGGTTACTTTTTTAAATCTGAAAATTGGAGATATTTTTAAATGGGAGAAATCCAGGATCCCTGCTCATCAGAAACGGTGCTCAGGGAAAGATACTCCTTTGTTTTTTGTCAGGGGGCAGTGAAGTAGAGAGCTAAATGAATGTGCCCCTAAATATATCTGCTTTATACCTTTGTGTTTGCAGCATGCATCTTTGTGCAGTTAGGACGTCATAGGCATGTTAATTCGTTTAATCTTGATACAACCATTATCTGGGTCTCAAAGAAAAGGGCTTACTGGGGGGCATTTTAGCAATCATGCAGGCATAACTGAGGGTGAGATGAGCATATAAGTAGAGTGATATATTAGCCCTGCCACTTGGTGGATATGATTTGGGATTACACTTAATTGTGAGACCAAATGTACAAAATCTGAAATGGAAAAACTCTCGTAAGCTCGCGGTGGGTGGGGAGAAGCTTTGACAGGCAATCCAGACACCAGTGCCTACTCTGGGTACTCTTGTGTTCAGGTGGAAAGTGTTTTAGCCACAGGGATGAAGGGATTGTGTGTAAGGGAATATATGCCATTACAAGAAAAACACTGAAACCCAGCAATGTAATATTTTTTAAGTCTTTTTGATTGGGTTAGGAAGCATACTGTGTGGGGCTGTTGTACTTAACAACTTAAGCACAGATCCTACACGCGGAGTGGAAGCTCTGACTGTTCAAGTTACGTCCACATTTGTACTTCCCATTTCACTGGGAGTTCGGTTCTTAAATATGCTTGAAGATCTGGACTTCAATCTTTTGTGGTCCGTTTCTCTCGCCTCCAAACACAAGCAACCCCCTTAGACATTCATAGGAATTATTTGTACCCCGGTGGGAGAATTGGGTTTCTTGTATGTAGGAACTGGTTCTGGGATCTGACATTTTAAGTAGCTCATTACCATATTGCAGGTTGTGTTTAATGCATGGATACAGCCACGTGTTTAAATTACTCTGGAGCCATACCGATGGGGTGTAGCTGTATGCAGAGGATGCAGACACTTCTCTTGTTTGTTCAGTAGGATTTCTTCATTTTCAGAAGGTCAGAGGAAGGAATTTAAGACAAACTTATACACTTCTGAGTCCAGACCCAAATCTAGGGACCAGTAGCTAGAGCTGAAAATCTGGAGGTGATTAGCCGCCCAAGATTTGATCTGGGTACAAAGCAGTCTGTCTTTTTTCAAGTGAAAGTAGCAAAATTTTTCAAATGGAATCACGATTCATTTAGTTCATTATTAATTGCTTAGATAGTCCAATTTGAGATAATTAATCTCCCAAAATGGACTTAATTATAATTGTCTAGATAGTCATTCTCCTGATAATTAATTCTAAAAATTGCAGTATTGTATTAACCTCTAAAACACCCTTTTAAAAATATGCAGTTGAATAAAGTTCAGAGCATCCCACGATCCATTAACGAAAACGAAAGTGCGTTTTTGCAGGTGTGGCGATTACAACTCAGTCACGCTTCCTGCAGGTCACTCGGTCCATCAGTCAGGAAAACGCATCTCCAGAAAAGTCGCAATGTGCGAAACAAGGCAGAACCTTTCCACGAGTCTCCCTCTGCCATCACGTGTACTTTGGCTTCAGGAAGAATCAAAATTAAAATGAGCAAGTGAGATCAATGGACTTCACTGTCCTTGAAAATCACATCCGTTTAGGTGCTGCTATAGAAATCTAGGAGCTGGACTTGAGAGAAGTCCAGCTCCTAGATTCCTTACCTGGAAGTAAGGACTTTAAAATTTGGTCCTTACTTCCAGGTAAATTCCTAAAATAGGAACAGGCATCATTTGAGTCCGATTCATGGGTGCCAGGGGTTGACACATGCACCACTCCTTGCAGGACTAGATCCTAAAAAGACAAGCAGATGGGTTGCAAGGGATGCTCTGGATGTGCAGAGGTGCTAGGTCCTAGTGGCTCCGGACATGCAATTATCCCGTCTAGTCACGGCTGTTCCCGCAGTCCCTTTAAATGTGTTTGGATGCCAGGTACCAATGAAGCAGTAGATAATGGTTTCTGCTTATAATAAAATTGTAGCACCCATGCACCGATTCAGAACATATATGCTTAAAATTGATTTTTTTTTTTTTTTTTTTTTTTTTTTTTGTCAGAAAACTAGAAATGGCAGCAGTTGCTATCTTAACTGTTCAGCTACTTCACAGTTCTCCCAGCATACTGTAAACAGCCTGGATTTGGGTAGAACATGCATATTCTTGTGGCGAGATGGCAAATGTGCACGCGTGCAGAGCTCTTTTTGTATTTTTTGCACAGGGCACTAAGGATCTCTGAGAGCTATTTACTCCTTCCGTTTTAAGATGAGTGCCGTATGATTACCACCTGCAGATTGGTGGGGATGCTCAGATGATGGACTGTGTCCTTGTCTTCACTGCGTTGTGGC